GGCCAAAAATCTTCATTTCAAGAAGAGATATTTTCCTGCATCGCCCACAACTGATCCTATTATAACACAGCAATAATTGCTGCACATGTGTCAAAATAACTATTTATTTCTTTTCCCACTAAAAAGTTTCGGGTACCTGACGGGTATCTGGCGGCGCTGCTCCACTCACTAAAATGGCTGCCGCTATTATTCTTGGTTAACCAAAAAAGTGTGACAGTCGTTTCGCCCCTTCTCTGTATACTGGCGGATTTCTCGTATTTTAGCAGCATTTGGCCACTGAAACCGAAAAATGCAACACCCACCAATGGTTGGAGCCATTTCCAGCTGGCTAGACACAAGTAGCGTAAGGTAGTGACGCAGCTAGATACCGTGGTAGGTGGAGAATCGGTACCTTCTACACTAGAAGGCAGAATAAATGTCCCTTTCTTGTTAGTTAACTTATCAAACAGTGGGTGGGTCTTCTGTTGGCGGATGGAGTCATCAGGTACCATGTACTAGCGTAATGATTCTGAGCAACATTAAAGTATGGAGGCAGGAACGGAATAAATGGCTGATTCCGGAGAATTAACTGCTTAATTATGGAAGCCTCTTTCTCCTGCATCGCCAGAAGCAGATTCTGTCACATGGCAGTAATAGTTGGTGTAGATGTGCAATAATTAAAGAGCTAAATCCGACGGCCTGTTTCCACTGCTTAAAGTCTTAGATGATAAGTGGGTACTTAGCGGGCGCTTGACGGCAGCTAGAATGGCTGCTAACTACTAGTCTTAGTTAACGAAAAAGGGGACATTGGTTTCGCCTTTCTCTGTATCTGTATGGACCGTAAAGACAATAGCTATGAGGAGCAGAAATTGGATGTCAGTGGCTCATGGGCTTTTTGAGTAACAGCTTAGCTTCAGAGTGGATACATAGTATAGGCTTATAGTTGCCCTATTGGATTCTCCACCGGGCGTAATAAATTGAATGAATGAATGCATCTGTACATACATACCACAACAGCAGCTGGTCCCAAAAAAAAAAACGCAGCAAACCGGCGTGGCGCGTGTTTTCAAGTTGCTGCGCTGTTGTTATTTGCGATCGAAGTCGCTGGGTAAAGCACGGCAAGACCCTGCCGAGCGTAATTGGACATTGCAATCTTGCCAGGTGGAACTTGTTGTCGTCATGTTTGCACAGCCGTTCCATCGTGGAGACTGCTTGCTACATCGCCACGCTTTGAGGGTCGCGCATCTTCCGCTGAATGTTCTACTGCCATGCTTCCCCGCCCTTATGAAACTACCGGTTCCGCATAGGGTGTGGCTATTTTCCGAATGGCTAGCGACCTGCGACGAGGAGGACCAAAGCAAGAATAGGCTCAACGAACGGTGGGGAAGAAAAGGCAGAAAGAGCTGTAGGAAGAGAGCAAAATCTCGATCCTGTCTCAATTCAAGGTGAAACGCGATGGCTGACCAGCGGAATCGTCCGGCTAAGTTTGTTCAGCAGGAGATCTCGCAACAGCCCTTCTGGGTATATATTCATATAAGACCAAACAAATCTCCGATGCGCTGATTTATTTGTATCGTTGACATTGAATATGCGAGCTGCGAGTTTCTGCATCGTGTTCGGCCTTGCCGCTCCTATACTAAGCTCCCCAACGACTGCAGCGCAGCCCGCAACAGTTGGGCGTTGGCAGCCGCTGGAAAGTCAAAAAGTTTTGGATCTTGAAGTCGCATATGGCAAGGATGTCAAAAAATTATTCAAGACGCCGTGGAATACTTGGGTGGCTAATGTGGACGTGATCTTTCCGGAGTCTACCTACACCGTACCATATATGGCCACACTGCCTACTGCCGCCATAGCGGCCTCTCTCTCATGGTCGGCGATGTCTACTGACGCTACCACCACTACAATGTTT